TTCTTGCCTATATCTTGTAATATGAGAAACTACTTTGGCAGTAACAATACACAATGTACTAACCATTGTTACTCTCTTAAAATCTTGTTTTGAGATTTTGTACCATTGTTTTTATTTTTTTTCTTTAAAATAAAATAACTGATGTCAACAACAACAACAACAACAACAACAACAACAACAAAAAAGGCAAGGGCCAGGATTGGGACACAGGTGTTGATCCAAGGGGGGTGACAATCAGCAGTTCCATCAAGCAGCAGTCTAGGCCAAACAGTATATTTTTAGCACCAGCCCATGTGAGGAAAAAGCAGAATATGATATCATTTGTCCTGCATGATGTTAAAGGCAGAGGGAGGTGACAGTAGGAGGAGCACCCTGACTGGCCCATACAATTCTGTGAGGCTCTAAGACACCAAGGAGCAAAGCAGCCTTGGGAAGATTCTGAGTCCTGCAGTTCTGAACCTGGGTTGAGGGTGGGGCAGAACTGAGTCAGCAAAATGTGCCCAAATGATATGGTGGCTTCATTCCTATGAATGAGGTCTGTTTTTATGCCTATAATACAAACAGAAGGAGATTGTTGAGTTAGAAAGTGCCCAGCACCCCCCATGATTGTTGGAATACTAACCCCCAGTACGTCAGAACATGACTTTTTTCCTTTTCTTGTATTTTAGGGAAGGGTCTACAGAGTGTTCAGGGTCTCACTACTAGATCGAACTTGTAGTGATCTGTTTGTTTACAGCCTCCCAAGAGCTGAGATTACAGGTGTGTGCCACCATGCCTAGTCTCAATTGTCATTTCAGTGCGCCCTGGGGGCGGGGCCGGTGCAGCAGGCCTGGGGATCAAACCCCCAGCCCCTGCACCTGCTTGCAGGTGCTTTAATCTGCTGAGCTATTTGGGCAGCCCTCTAGAGCATGACCTTTGAAATTAGAGTCTTTACACAAGTAACTGAATTATGATGAAGTTAAGAGTGGGTCTTACCCTGGTGGGGCTTCTGACCTGCAACCGCGCCCTGTTGCAGCTTGAGGCGGCTCGGTGCCTTCATGAACTCTCTCATTCTGAGCAATCTGTGGTGGCTGAAGCCTGCCTACCAGCTACTTCCTACCTCCTCACCTACCTCTCCGGTCACAGTTCAGACTTCATAGAGCTGTGTCTTTATACGCTGGGAAACCTGATTGTGGAGAGTGAGGCTGTGAGGAAGCAGCTCCTGCCACAGGGCATTGTTCCAGCCTTGGCCTCCTGCATCCAGTCCCCGCACGTGGCTGTGCTGGAAGCTGTTGGATATGCCTTGTCCCAGCTTCTGCAGGCTAAGGAAGCTCCAGAGGAGATTATTCCCTGTATCCTGAACTCCACCCTGCCACAGCACATGCTACAATTGATGTGGCCAGGCCCAAAGCTCAACCCTGGGGTTGCTGTGGAGTTTGCATGGTGCCTTCACTACATCATCTGCAGCCAGGTCAATAATGCCCTGCTTATCACTCATGGAGCTCTGTCTACTCTGGGGCTGCTGCTGTTGGACTTGGCTGAGGTTGTCCAGAGAACAGAGGATGCAGGACTGGAGCTGCTTGCATGCCCTGTGATTCAGTGCCTAAGTAATCTGCTAACAGAGGTGGCAGTAGAGGATGTGGGAGGTCAAATGCAGCTCCAAGATGAACGTATTGTGGCAGCCTTATTTATCCTATTTGAGTTCTTCCTTCAGAAACAGCCCAGCCTGCTTCCTGAGGGCCTCTGGCTCCTTAACAATCTTACTGCAAACAGTCCTACTTTGTGTACTTCTTTGCTCTCCCTGGAGCTGATCGAACCCCTCCTGCAGCTGTTATCAGTGTCAAATGTGGTGAGCATACTGGTACTCACAATTCTGTGCAATGTTGCAGGAAGGGTCCAGCTTACTGCCAGCAGCTGTGGCCAGGGCCCTTGCTCCCCTGCTTGCTAAACACAGTGACCCTCTCAGACATTGAGGTAGTAGGCCAGAGTTTGGAGCTGCTACAGCTGCTATTCCTCTATCAGCCAGAGGCTGCCCAGGCCTTCCTGCAGCAATCTGGGCTTCAGGCCTTGGAAAGGCATCAGGAGGAAGTCCAGCTTCAGGATCGAGTGTGTGCTCTCCGGCAGACAGCTCTTCATGGCTGACCTGGCTTCTCATGTACTCCATTCTCTCACCAGTCACTTTGCTCATTTTCTTTCCAGAGGATTAGGACCATTATAAACTGTTTTCTCCTCCTGTATCTTATACTGTTCGAACGGGAGAACCAGGGGGGTGCTTTATATAGCCTATTTATTCTAGGGCTTTGGATTTTCCCCCCATAGCCCCACCCCTCAACTGGTGGCTTTTGATGAGAAACAAAAATAAAAGTTTTATTTTTATATTAAAAAAAAAAGAGTGGGTCTTAATCCAGTTCAGCTTGTCTCCTTATAAAAGGGAGAAATTTGGACACAGAGATTGACCAAGAGATAGAAGACAAAGTGAAGAGACATGGAGAGGAGACGAGCATCTATGAGCTAAGGAGAGCGCCCTGGAGCAGATCCTCCTTCACAGCTCTCAGAAGGATGAACTCTGCACACACCTTGATCTCAGACTTCCATCCTCTAGAACTGTGAACTGATACATTTCTGTTGTCTAAATTGTGCAGTTTGTGGTACTTTGTTAGGGCCACTTTAGCCAACTAACACAGAAATATTCTCTCCTGTTCTGCTTCCTATAACTACGGGTGACTGGGGACTTGGGGAGCTGCTGGGCTGGGAATCACAGGAAGGACAAGGCACTGTTGAAGCAGCAGGAAGAAGCAGCTGTGCATGCCACGCCCAGCAGGGGAGCAGGGGAGCACCCACTGACCCGGCCTCTGGCACTGTAGCTGCAGGCATCTGCAGACAACAGCTGTGCCTGACCATAGCAGCTGTGTGAAATCAGGCTTGGACAAAGGGATAAGCTCTGCAGAGGAGTACGGTAGGACTCTGGGGTCAGCAAAACAGCAGGGCTGCTGTGGGAACAGATTCATTTCTTAGCAGAAGTGAGGTGTACCTTGGGAACCAATGAAACTCAGTAGGGACACTTCATAAGGGGCAGGAGATGATGTGGCCACTCAAAACAATTTCACAAACAATGCCGATTGTCCTAACTTTGCCCCTCTCTGCTCTTTCATCAGCAGCTGACAGTGGCACCCCTGCACCTCCCTCTTCCATCTTGCAGGACTTCATTGTTCTATCTCTCTATGTCCTGTGTGTTTCTGCAGAGTTGCCTCAGACCTCAAGCCATTAGGGAAGCAGAAAGAAGGTCTTCCCACAGGAAATTCTGGATCTTTCCTTAGATCAGGTTGGATGAAGTAAGGATACTTGGGTATGCAGGTTCCTGGGACCCAGGGAGGAAAATGTAGCCCAGGCAGAAGGAGCAGTATGGGGAAAAAGCAAGATGTAGTTAAGTATAACAAGTTGAAGAAGTCCTGTGGGTGGTAGCAAGTGATACACATGAGGGCCTGATAGGAGACTGGGTTTGACAGGAAGTGAAACCAGGTTATGACTGCAAAGTGTTCCACTGATGCTCCTTGGCACACTGGAAGTCTCAGCCTGCCCTGAGATGACTTCCTTTTTTAGAAGACTTGATTGAACTCACTACATGAGTATCTTAGAATGTCTGCACTGGTCTTCCAGTGTGCAAAATTCGGCTACAACTTCCCAGTGTCCCAGATGCATAACACACCAAATGATGGCATTCATTTGGCCAGGGTGTGGCAGGAATAGCTCATCTCTGCTCTATTCATTATTAGTGGGATGGCTAGAGTTATCTAGAGAGTCGGTTACTCATTACTTAGCTGCAGAATCTTGGATCTTAGCTAGGGCTGAGCTAGAATCTACATATGGCCTGTCCTTGTGACTGGGACTTCTTCAGCACATAGTGGCTACCTCCCCAGACTGAGTGTCTTCAGAATGAGAGCCACCTGGTAGGGTAGGAACTGAGCCTTGAGTGCCTTATGGTACAGCTTGGGCTGAAGCAGAAGTCATTAGTAGCCAGTCACTGAGATCTGCTCATATACAAAGAGGAGTTAGAATCAATCTCTTGTTGCGGGGAGGATCAAAAAGCATTGCAAACAAGACAGTAGGCTGGATTCTGTCAGTGTTCCAAAGAGGGAGAGTGACCTGGCAGAGTCACACAGCCACCAAGAAGTAGGTCTAACCACAGCATGCCTACATGCACACTCATCACACATGTGCACAAACATATACATGCACGCATACCACACATGTGCATACAAACATGTACACATATAAGTGTCTTTTTGGCTTAGCACTTTACCTCATTTAGTGTGGCCATTTGGACATAACACAGTCATTTGAAGCTAGCACATGAAAAGTTTAACTCTTAGTTTTCCCAAGCCTATTCTCTCTTAGTCTTGGTGTCCTCCTTAATGTCTCTTGCTCTCACATTCCGGCTCAAGCTCATCAGTCAGTGCTGTTAGTTCTATCTTCCATGCACACTCAGAATTTAACATTTTCCCTTTTTCAAAAGAGAAGCTATTTATTTTTCCTTTTCAGTCCATGGTCACCTGGTTTTGTTGCTTCTGCCTGGTGATGTGGGAGGCAGAACTTCATGGCAGGGAAAGTATGGAGCAAAGTCATTCCTTGTGGCGGACAAGCAGGAGAGAGGGAAGAGGGCAAGGGGGAGGGGGAGAG